CGGCGCGGCCCCGCGCCCCCCGGCGCCTCGGCGACGCCATCCTCGCCGTCAACGGCGTCGACCTGCGCGACGCCACCCACGACCAGGCCGTGCAGGCGCTCAAGCGCGCCGGGAGGGAGGTCGTGCTCGAAGGTACCGCTCCGTGTCCCCCCCGCCGGCTCCTATTGCTCAACAGGTATGGGAAGCGGTGCAGGGAACGGGGGCGATGTGGGACCCCGGTTCCCTGCGCTGCTTCCCATACCTGTCATGGGTGTCCCGGACCCCTGCGTCACTTCCCTGTGTTGCTTCCCAGTGTCTCCTCTGGGTCCCTGCACCCTGTTCCAGTATCCTGTGCATCCCTGTCCTGGTGTCCCGTGTCTCCTGGGTCCCTGTGCCCTGTCCCAGTTAGCCAGACTCCTGTCTAATGGAGTCTCCTGGCTCCTGCAGCACTGCCCCGTCCCACTTCCCAGGATCCCACATCCCCTTCCCATTACTGGCATCCCCAAATACCCCCTGCTCCCCTCTTCCTGTTATCAACCTCCTGCCCTCCCCATCCTGCTCCCAGGATCCCGGGCCCCCTCCGTGTCCCTTTCCCATTACCTCCGGGGTGGCCCAGGGCTCTGGGATCCTCTTCCCGCTCCTGGGGTCCTGTGCATCCCCCATCCTGCAGCACCCCTGGGCGCTGGGATCCAGCCATGTCCCGAGCTGCAGGATCATTGGGAGCTTCGACAGGGCGGCATCGTGGGTGGCCGTGTGCCGGGCACAGGGACGGGGACATTTGGACCGGGGGGAGCGCTACGCGCAGCCCCCTCCCGCCATGCCGTGCCGCCGGTATCCCCGTCCCGCCGGAGGTGGCACGCAGCCCTGCGGCTCCCTGGGGAAGCGCTCCGCTCACCGGTGGTTATCGCATCCCTGCACCGCAGCCATTTTCAGAAGTTTTCTCCTTTTTCATTGTGAATGGCACAATTTTGTGACTAAGAGGAGCTGGTGGCTCTGCTGGCGCAGGCTGGGGGTGACCCTGTCCCGTGTCCCTGCTGCTGGGGCTGGGAGCTGCCCTGGCTGCTCGGGTGATCCCGAACTGCATCGTGCTGTGCCCAGCAACCAGCCCAGCCCCGACGAGCGCCCGG